GTGCTCCTTGGAGGCCAAGATGGCTAAGCTTCGTCTCTCCTACTTTGGACACATTGTCCAGAGAGAACAGTCACTGGAGAAGGATGTCATGCTGGTTAAGGTGGAGGGTCAGAGAAAAAGAGGAAGATCCCTAATGAGATGTATCAGCCAGGTGACATCATTGATGGCGTCAAGTGTGGTGGCGGTAGTGAAGTTAGCTCAGGATCGGACATTGTTTCGTTCTGCTGTGCATGGGGTCGCTATGAGTCGGTTCCGACTAGATGGCACCTGACAACAACAACAAGGTTTCAAGGGGGAGTTTAGTTTAATAGTGTGTGGGAGAAAAAAGAGTTCCCATTGAATAATTTTCATCTTGTCTAAATGGGTCTGGTTAAAAGAGATGGGAATAAGATTCTTATGATTCAATAGTAAGTAATTATTATCACAACAAATTGCGACTGTCACAGTTGTAAAGGTAGAAGTTTTGTAATAAAATCAGGGGAGTAGTTAATCTTACAGTCTAGAAACAAAGGACCGTGGGACCATCAAGGGAGAAGAGCACAAGCGGAATGTGAGATCTTATCCAGAGAAGCAGCAACACCAGAGATGGAGGCAGAGATGAGGACATGGAAGAGAGGGACCAGCTGAGTACTCTAGATTCATGGAAATAGAGGCACTGAGAGCTTGCGGCCAGGAGGCTAACTTGCAGAATGTGCCCTTTGGTGGTGTAAATTATTACATATGCCTGAGCATTATTTAAAAAAAAAAAGAGCTAAAGTGAATAAAGATAAATACTGTTAACTGATGGTACATACAGGGGGTTATAATCATTGTAATGAAACAAGGTGTACTATTTCTTGAATGTAAAACTGATGATATGCTCTGTAAACTTTCACACAATTCACAATAAAAACCTTAAAAAAAAAAAAAGAAAAACAAAAACAAAAAAAAATCTTTATGGGAGCATAAAGCCTCATCTTTCTCCTATGGAAGAGCTGATTGTTTTGAACTGAAGATCTTGAGGTTAGCAACCTGACTTACAACCACTAAGCTGCCAGAGCTCCTTATGTATGTGTGTGAAAAACCACAATTGACATAATGGCATCTATGCACTGAAGAAAGAAGCTGGACAAAGATGAAGGAAGATAGACAATACTTGGGAAGAAAAGAAATAGAAGGGTAAAGTTAAAAGGGGGATAAGATATAGGGAGTCCTGGTGTGGTGCTGTATGATAGGCACTGGACTGCTAACTGAACCCACCTTGGAAACCCTAATACAGGATTGCTATGTGTCAGAACCCACTAGACTGCACTGAACAAGAAGATATAGGGCAATAGGGAAGAGAAGGAACCAAGAAGAAAGTAAGTAGCGTACTCATTTTTCCTCTATACTCTTTTCCTTGATGACCTCAAGCACTGTAAAAGAACTGTCACATTTGAATTTTGGTGTTGGTGACAAATATTGAATACACAATGGACTTCCAGAAGAATGAACAAAGCTGTCTTGGAAGAAATACAGCCAGAATGTTCCTTAAAACCGAGGATGGCAAAATGCCGCCTCATGTGCTTTGGACATGTCAGTAGGGAAAGATGTCAGGCTTGGCAAAGGAGAGGGTCAGCTAAAAGAGGGAGACCCTGAATGAGATGGAATGACACAGTGGCTGCTACAATGGGCTCAAACAATGACTGTGAGGGTGGCACAGAACCCAGCAACATGGCAGTCTGTTACACGCAAGGTCGCTATAAAGCAGATAATGACCGGAGGGAACTTAACAACATTAAAACAATTTTTTCCTCCCACTTTTTTCCCTGATGATAGCAGTCACTGTTAGACCTTCAATGTTCCTTTCTATTTGGATGACTGCCAAATCTCTCTAGCCCTGACATCTCTTCAGAGTTTCACTCCCACATATTAAACTCCTGGCTGGCCATGTCCACTTCCATTTCCCATTACCACTTAAAATCCAGTAGGTCAAAACCGAATTCAACATTCCCTGCACCCCAAGCCTGCTCCTACTCTTGTACTAGCTCGCTTTTACCAAACATTTACCAGAACTGCTTTATCTCCCCAATCCCTTCAGTCAGTCTTGCATCCAACAAATATTTTATTGTGGACCTATTCTGTCCACACACCCTACCATAGCACTGGGTACACCCATCTATTCACTTGCACCTTGAAAATCTCTTGTCTGTCCAAGACAACTAATTTTTTCTGAGATTTACTGAGATTCCCTCTTGCTTGACCCATGGCATCACAACACACGTTAACTGGTATTGCATGCCATTTATTCTACAGTTATCACCTAGCACTAACACTTAGGGACTGTAAACCAGCTGGAAAGGGAATTGGGCGAGAAGCTAGATTTGTCTTAAGGGCATGTTTGTATATGAATCATGCACAGTATTTTACTTAAACTGTAAGTTACACATCTAACAAATCATATCAGTCTGATAATTCTTCTTTTATTTCTGAAGCATGCCTTTGGAAGACAGAGGAATTACTGGAGGTCTGGATGTTGAGTCTCCCTATATAGTGAAAGCCTGTCCACCTACCATCCTTGAGTTGCTGTTGTTAAGTGCCATTGACTGGGTTCTGACTCACAGTTGACTCTGTATAGAGTTTCCAAGGAGCAGCTAGTGGGTTTGAACTGCTGACCTTGGACTGCTTTTCCCACAGGGCCACACCAGGACTCCACCTCTTGAGTGGCGGTGGTAGTGGCTGTGTGCCGTGGAGTCGGTTCCAACTCAAAGCGACCCTGTACAGGGTTTCCGAGGCTATAAATCTTTATGGGAGCAGAAAGCCTCATCTTTCTCCCATGGAACAGCTGGTAGTTTTGAACTGCTGCCCTTGCGGTTCACAGCCCAATTTGTAACCACTACGCTACCAGAGCTCCTTCCACCTCTTGAGTAGGGACTCAATAACTACTTGTTGAATATGTTACCGTCTATACTGGGACCTTCTATCCCTGGAATCCTGGTGTGGCACTGGACTGCAAGGGTGGTTTGAACTGCAAGGTGTTGTTGTTGTTAAGTGCTGTTGAGTCCATTCCGACCCCTAGCAACCCTGTATAGGGTTTCCAAGGAGCAGCTGGTGAGCTTGAACCACCAACTTTGTAGTTCAAATGACTTTGCAGTGTGACAGATTAGCCCACAGCACCACACCAGGACTCAAACTCACCAACTGCTTCTGGGAAACCCTATACAGGGTGGCTATGAGTCAAAACAGACTTAACTTCACCATCACCACTACTGGGACTAAGGTGACCTGGTAGCATTATGGATTATGAGTTAGGCTGCCAACTGCAAGGTCTACAATTCAAATCCACTAGCTGCTTCATGGGAGAAAGATGAGGCTTTTTGCTCCCATAAAGATTTACAGCTGCTTAAGCCCTATAGGAGGAGCTGTGGTAGCGTAGTGGTTATGAATCGGGCTGCTAACCCCAAGATGGGCAGTTCGAAACTATCACCTGTTTCGAGGGAGAAAGATGAGGCTTTCTGCTCCCGTAAAAATTTACAGCCTCGGAAACCCTGTGCAGGGTCACTATGAGTCGGAACCGACTCCATTGCACTTAACAACAACAACAAGGAGTCGGAACCAACTCCACAGCACATAACCAATCAACCAACCAAACAAACCCTATACGGAAGTCCTGGTGTGGCGCTGTGGATTAATACGATGGACTGCAAAGCATTTGAACTGCAAGGCCTGCGGTTCAAGCTCACCAGCCGCTCCTCGGAAACCCTATACAGGGCGCTATGGGTCAGAACCGACTGGACAGCACTTCACAACGACAACAAACCCTACACAGGCTCATAGGAGTTGGTTTCGACTCCGCTGGCACCACCACAGGGACCATAGGTATTGTTTTCCATTGTATCTGCAGCCCCTAGAAAATAGAAAATTTGGTCCATAAGTTGGGGTTCAATAAAGATCAGTAGAGTATTCTGGAAAGGCAGAGAGCACAGATGTTTTGTCCATCACCACAGGAAGAAGGACAACGATGAAGGGGCACGAAGGAACAGGGGAACAGTGTGCCCTGTTTGCCTCCCGGCTCCCTCAGTGCACGGGTTAATATTTGCTAAGCCAAATCAGTCACCTTCCCGCACAACTCCAAGCTGGGCAGCGAGGCCTGGAACACCGCCACCATCTGGCCCCCGGCCGCCTTCCCTCCATCCTGAACCCAGCTCCGGTTACCTCCCTGCACACATCTGGAGCCACCACACCACACACTCCGCTTCCCGGCCTCCTGGGCTGGGGCCTGGCTGGGGCCTCCAGAACGGGGCGTCCGCAGCTGCGGGCCCTGGCCGTCCCTGCTCTCGGGGTGGAGCGCTGAGTCCCGGAGGCCGGCCCCGGCCTGGCCCCGCCGCCCTCCTCCTGGCCGAGAGGCCAGGCAGGCGGCAAGGCGGGAAGCGGCTGCAGCTGTGAGGGAGGCGCCGGAGTACGGTGGGCCCTCCCCTCGGTCGCGGGTACTGGGCGAGCTGCAGCTCGTTCACTCACCACAGTCCGGCGGGGCAGCGTGCTGGGGGTCCGGGACACTGACCGGCGGATCCTCCGTGCCCGGCCCGAGCGGGGTTCCCCGGAGCTCTCAGAACCGCTGTCGTCCGAGATCACGATGAACTCTTCCATGGCTGCTGCTGCTGTTGCGGCGGCGGCGGCAGCGGCGACCCAAGCAGCTGCAGCGGCGGCTGCGGCTGCGGCAGCGGCAGCGGCGACCTCAGTTTCTGCTGCTGAGGCGGCGGCAGTGTTGGCGGCGTTGGCGGCGCTGGCGGCGACAACCCGGGCATCTCCCCGCCGGCCCCGCCCCCGATCCGCCCCGCCCCTCCCCGCCCCCTCCCCGCCCCGAGACCCTCCTCTCCCGCCCACCGAGTCCCGCCCACAGGCCGCCGACCGCTGGGTCAGGGCCTCTGTCACTCTGCTAGGCGGCAGCACGCGTCCTTCCTCCCCGGAGTCAAAAAAAAAAGAGACAGAAAATCAAGTCGCAGCCGGCTTGGGCCGGTGTTGCGGGGGGAGCGAGCGTGGGAGGCGCGAGACTGCGAGGCCTTCCCCAGCTGCTTCCAACCGACTCAAGTTTGAAGCGAGGTGTAATCTAGCCCCTGCCAGAAAGGCGAGACGCCCGAATGTGGGCACCTAGCCTCTAACTGAGGGAGTAGAGGAACCCTGGAATGTGAGTGACAGGGGCTCCCCCAAGATCTGAGGTTGGGTAACCTTGACTGACAGGGAAGTGGAGCCGTCAACGTCTAAGGGTGGGTGATCTGGTGGATGACCTACCCTCTGACAGATGGGGCAAAGAGGCCCCATTTCTTTGTGCACGTGTGCAGAGATACTGGAATAAATTTCTCTAAGTGGAGTAAGTGTTTATTTTCCTGTTTTGATAAATGATACCCGTTTACCCTTCAAAATTGTACCAGTGTATGGTCTCACCAGCAATATATGTATAGCTCAGCAATATATGTATTCAATTTATGGTGAATTGAGTGAAGATTTACACAGCAGGTCAGATTTCCATTCAATAATTCACACACAGTTGATTTCATGTCGTTGATGACAATCCCCACAATATAACATCATCATTCACCCCACTTCCTTCCTGTGTTTTCTGCTTCTAGGCCTCTGTCTTTCCCAAATGTGAATTATTTAATGTTTCTTCTACTCAAAGTCTTTGTAATTTCCCACCCAACGACTTTTTCCCCCACCTCTGGGTCTGGGCAAGAGAAGGTGGGAAGTTGCTGATGGATTATATAATTCAGTTATGGGTGATTGTGATTGGTCAATTTTACCATTCTGCTGGGTTTTTAATGAGCCATCTCAGAACCAGGAGGGGGATCTCACTGCCAACAAGGAGGAGCCAGGAGTGAAACCCCTGTGCATTGAACCTCCTCAACCCAGGGACAGAATATTATGACGCAAAAAAAATCAGCAGAAGAGTGGCAGTAGCAGCAGAAGCAAGAGCCAGAGTGCGAGACAAAGTGGTGGATTTCTCAACCTGAGGACCAAATAAAGCTGAATGGCTGGGCAGGAGACTTGCTTGTATAGTGAGGTGCCTCCAGGCACTTAATTTGGGAGCTAGGTTTACTGACCCAGGTAGCTAAAGCTGAGTGCCTACAGGCTGAGGATTTTGGTGGAGTGTGTGTCCTGTTGGGCATTTATCAGCAGCTCTAAAATCTTTGTAACATTGCTGGAGTAAGGCAGAAGCCAGTCCATGGGCCAGATAGGCCTGCCTGTGAACACAGCAGAGGAAAGTCTGTTCTGACTGGAAAAACTGTGCCCTGAGCATTTCTGTCCCTGAACTGTAACCTGTTAACTTCCCTATTAAACTCCGTAGCTGTGCATATGGTGTCTGAGATCCGTGTGGCCACTGCAATGAATTATTAAACTCTGTTGAGCATGCTAGAGGATGGTTGTTTCCATTTCTTACAGTCTGGCTTTGGGAGTTGGATTCATTGCAATGGCTCCTGACTCATAGAAGCATGTGGGTTTCTTAAGAGAAAGAAGAAGGACTATGGGAAGTAAAACTTTTGATTCTTAGATGGTTCCATTAGCTGTTGCTACCTATAGAAACTGAAATGAATGCAAGGTCAGCGGTGGTTCAACCTCACCAGTTGCTTCTTGGAAACCCTTTACAGGGTCGCTGTGGGTCGGAATCGACTAGACAGCACTTAACAACAACAACAGGGATATACAGGAAGGCTAACAACACTAGGAAGGCATGCTCACCATGGAATGGCCAGTCATTCAAGATCAAAAGGGCAACATTTACCTAAGGACAAAGTTGAGAAGGGATGGGAAGGGGGATGGAATGGAAATAGGTACCCCAGGGAGGAAGCAGGCTAACTGTTACAGGGAGGGGATTGCAATCATTGAGATGAAACAAAGCTAATGATTTTGTCTGTAAACCTTCACTAAATTCACAATAACAAGTTAAGCAAAACAAAAACAACTTTCTCTTTCTGAATTTCAGACAAGCATTGGATGATGCAATGAAGCAGGAAAAATCTATGCCCATCAGAGAAAACTCCCTTCTAGGACTAAAGGTTAAAAGGAGCTGGTGACCACTTAGGTCCACTTGATGAGTGGAAGTTGGGGAGAATTCAGTAATTAAAACAAACAAACAAAAAACAGGTTGAAAGGAGAAAGGGCTGCTTGGTTTGAAATTAGGGAATTGTGTGGACTCCTGAGACTCTGGGCACTGACTTGGCCCAGGGGAGATAGGGTTGAGAGAGAAATAGAAAGGGCCAGCTGGTCTGAAATATGGGATGGTATGTGTGTGAAGTCCAAGCTTGCAGCTAGTACCCATTTGACCTAATTTAGATGGAAGGACTAAGACAACCAGAACCTGACCGAATGAAAAGAGGTGTTTGAAACTGTGAGCTGGTGCAAATTGCTGCAATCTGATGGACTTTGCTTATGAATATAGATGCCTAAACTTCCAATAGGAACAGAAGATGCTTCACATCAAGAAACATACTTCTCAGTACTGGATTGATAGGGAAGGACAATTTTGAAATTGGATATCTAAAATGGGAGGTAAAGGCATGAAGTGGCTGACACACGCTATGGTGCAATGAATTATTTAATGCCATAGCCTTTGTAAACTCCCACCAAACTACTTTTTCCTAGCTCTGGGTGTGAGAAGGTGGGGGAAAATGCTTATGGATCATGTAATTCAGTTGGAAGTGATTAACAGGGTTAATTGTGATAGTGAAAACTTGGGAACTCTAGCATTTATAGAATGAGCCATCTCAGAAGCAGAATCTCACTACCAAAAAGAGAGGACCACGAATGGAATGTGCTTCTTGGACCCCTAGATCCCTGTGCACTAAACCTATTTGACCCAGGGGCAGAAAGCTGTGACACCAGCTGAGCGGCCGAGCAGCAGCAGCAACAGAACCAAGACCCAAAGCACAAGACAGAGTGGTAGATTTCCCAGTCAATGGAGCAAGTAAAGCTGAGTGACTTTGGGCAGGAGGCTCACTTGTGGAGTGAGGTTTCTCCTGGCACTTAATTAAGGGATCTAGGTTTGCTGGCCCACAGAGCTAAAACCAGTGCTTGCAGGCCGAGGCTTATAACTGAGTGGTGTGTCTTGTGAGCATTTATCAGAAGCCCTAAAAAGAGCCTTGTAATATTGCCAGAGCAGGACAGAGACCAGGCCAAAAGCCAGCGAGAGGCCTGTCTACATACCTGGAAAGAGACTTCTTGATTGGAAGAATTATGCCCTAAACATTGCTGACCTTGAATAACTTGTTAGTTTCCCTAATAAACCCTATAACAGTGACTATGGTGTCTGTGATCTGTGTGAACATTACAATGCATTGTTGATTCCAGTTGAGAAGAGTGTTCTGTGGGAGGGATGGTTGTTGCCATTTTGTACACTAACCCTTCTGAAATTTGTCCTTGGGTAAGTCTACCCTCTCTGATCTCAAATGGTTGATCATTCTAAGGTGTGTACACCTTCTAGTGTTACTCTTATCCCCATAGACCTGTCTACCATTTGGCTGAAAATTGAGTCGTGTGTGTGTGTGTGTGTGTGTGTGTGTGTGTGTGTGAGTTCATTTCAGACCTGAAGGGTAGCCACTAAGCACAATAGTCTCTGGGGTTCCACCAGACTCCATTCAACCAGTAGTCTTGGTCTCTTTTATGACTTTAAGTTTTGTTCCCCATTTTTTTTCTCTATCCATGACCTTGTAATGTGATCTCTTTCAGGGCAATTGGTCATGGTAGCTGGGCACCATCTAATTCTTCTGGTCTAAGGGTCATAGAGACTGATTTTCACATGGTCCATTAGTCCACTGAACTAATTATTTCCATGTGTCTTTGATTTTCTGCACTTTTCTTAATATAGCTCAGGAATTTAACATGTAATTGAGAGTTGTTCAGTTCGTAGTAGGATCAGAAGTGGAAAAAAATGCACAAAACAGCTTTGCAGTAGAAGATCCCATGGGTAATTGTTGTGTGTGTCATCGAGGCGAATCTGACTCATAGCGACCCTGGATAGAGTTTTTGAGGAGCAACTGGTGGGTTTCAACTGCCTACCTTGTGGTTCACAGTCAAGTGCTGATCCTACAGTGCCATACGGGGTGTCCCACCACACCAGGAGTCCCATGGATTATTAGATATGAACTAATAGAAGTTATAAAGCTATAAAAAGAAACAGATATTGCAAGTTTGGTTCCAGACTACTGAAATAAAACAAGCACCACAGAATTGGACCTTTGCTTATAGATGTAATTGCTCAAAATTCCAACTGGAGTGGAAAGATTCTTCATATCAAGGAAAAAGTTTGTTTCCTCAGTGCACTGGATTGATAGGGATGGATAATCTAGACATTGGTGTTGAAAAGTGGAGGGCTATAAAGACACAAAGTAGCTGGCTTATAAACTTCCACAAGTGAGCTTAGTTTCAGAACAAGAGGAGGAAAGTAGAAGCCCCATTGAGTAGTTTTCCTCTTCTCCAGATGGATCCACTGAAAGAGGATGGGGGAATGATGGTGACAGGAATTTATGATTCAATTGTTACTGTTAGCAGGATTAATTGTGAGTGTCACAACTATAATTGTAGAGGTTGTATAACTAAAAGGGGAGAGTAGTTCATCTTTCATTTCAGGAACAGACCATCCCAGGACCATCAAG